ATGACAAATTAAATAATATTTACAATATTGTATTATTAATAATGGCAATAATATATGAAATTAGGATCGGAGATAGCATCATCGTGAAACTTTAAGCACGGCCAAATATAAACAGAATTTATTTATATAAACAGCATTATATATTTTTTGTATTTTATATATTACAAATTTCGAAATAATGAAATCAAATAATTTCTCGCGCGTATGGAGCATAATTGCAATACGTTTCTAGGAGCCGTTAAAGGCAAGTGTCGATATTGTCTACCGGGAAACTTAATCTTCGGCTGCTGCTGCTTCCAAGCGAATGAGGTTTCATTAAAAAAATCCAATTTTCAAGAGCGACTACGCTCAAGTCAAGGGGCAAGAATTAAATTCTGCGTGCTTTTTTTTTTGCTTGCGGCAGCGCGAAATTTGATGGGCTCAGAAGGAGGTACTCCCAATGCACGGATAGCATTCTAGAGTACGTAAAGAGATCGATATTAAAGCGGGCAGGATGCATAAATGTAGTAGAAAAACGGTTACCGAATTGATGAGAAACGTTTTATAATTATATTAAATTTACAATTAAATATACATATTGTTCTTTATGATCAGAATTTCGTAGTATAAATTACATCTTGTATAACAATTATATTTGATTTTTATGAGCTATTTATTTTGATAGAATTTTTTTTTTTTTTTTTTTTTTAAACACAATAAATATAATAAATATAAACAAAATAAAATTTTCTCAATGCATGTTCTGTTATTTCAGAAATAAATAGATTATAATCTATTGAAATTTCGATTACCAATGAGTTTTGAATCTGTATATTGGTTTCTTCGTTGAAATTTTGTGTTTATTTGTTGACTAAATGGATATACATATAAAATACAGATATACAATGTATGTAGCTGATTCTATTTACTGGACATAATTTACTCACTAACGCGCGATACAGCGCGAGATATTTCAATTTTGCTGATGTCGCCGCTAATGCAATCATGTAGATAGATAGATGAATATGCTTTAGATGCTTGAAATATATGACAAGTATGTACAGAGAGTATATACTGAAAGGTATGAGATAGCACCAGCGAATGACTAATGACACCTATTTCGCGATACTTTTGCTCGTGTGACAGTCACTCTTATGACGCGCGCGGTATCTCAAAGTAAAAGGATCTACATATTCAATTAATTGTCAGTTAATTGTGGTCGGCGTGATGCGGGTATCATGGTGGAAATTAGCGTAACCTCGTGAAGCATGAGAACTCGTCGTGCGTATCGAATTTATGCGTGTTGCCCGCAGTGGAAATGGAAATGTCACTCGCATCGACGCCATTCGCCGAATGGGAGAGCTATGTGAAAAGTGTCTTGCAAATAGCGGTGATATAATTACGGGATCGTATCCCAAAATTCACACCGCAAATATGCAGTAATCCCCGAGGACTGCAGTTTTCATCATAATGAAAGGAATTTATAAGCAGTTTCGCAAATTAATCTAGTTTTGTTGAAATTTCCATACATTGAGCTTAAATCAATTTTCGCTGATGTGAAAATTTCTCTCGGTTTTAACATAATTTTGTAACTGTTATTTTGCGATAATAATTTGTTTTGTATAATACTTTTTTCGACGATAATAATGAATAATACGAAATATAAAATAATCAACAAGCATTAACTAATGCAAAATAGAGATCATTAATATTAACAAATGTAATTATAATATTAAAGAAGACAAATATAATGTGTCATTAAATTAATAATTATCTGAGGTCATATAAATTTACTAAAATCAACTGCGTTGTGTTTCTTTTTTTTATTTTTTGGCAATTGGCGATTTCTAAATAATCCTCTAGTTTCAATTAAAAGAATTCTCATCATTTATTATTGCAATCTATAATTGTGACATTAAATAAAACATTTTCCTCGATTCCGGCTTTCATTATTCGACTGCATCTTGCATCGATAAATCGTGAAAATGATTGCGTTTAGCTTCTCGTTCGGTGGAAATTTCTTTCTCGATTCTGACCGTCACGTTGAAGTCCAATGGTCAAAGGAAAAAAAAAGAGAGTAACATCATTCTCTTCGAGAATGTAGAGCCCGCTTGCTCGCGAGTATGATAAAGAGATTTCCCGAGCCTCTCCCGTTCCCCCGTCTGATCCGAGAAGAATAGCACGAGTGGAAGTGTCGAACATGTGCCCGGGATTGGCCGGCGCACTTCCTCGACCGAGGAAAACTCGGCGGAGGAGTCAGGTGCAAGGATGTACATGCGCGCGAACGTCGAAATATTTCTGAAAGGAACGGCTGGTTAGGACGCGGACGGAGGATGGGGAAGGAGATGTGGGAGATCCGGAAAGTCCTTGGCGAAGGGTGCACCTCTGGTGCGCGTCGCGGCTTCTCGGAGAGGAATGAGAGAGAAAGATGAGAGAGAGGTTGATCGTGTGCGCTGTGTTGGAGGAGAGAACGGGGTGGTCGTTCGGTCGTTCGTACGTGAAGGGTCGGTGTTAGGCAGTCGGAACATGGCATAGAGGAACCGACCACCGTTGGAATGCGAGCGGAACAAGGATGGCGAACGAGCCAAAGAAGCGAGAGAGAGAGAGAAAGAAATAGAACGAAAATGAGAAAGAGAGAGCGAGAAAAAGGAATAGTTCCTAAAGAAAGAGGCGAAGAGAGAAAGAGAGAGTGAGACAGATTCATGAGAGAGTAAGAATGAGGGGGAAAGAGAAGGGATCTCTCTCTTGAACGAGAGATAGGGCGCGCGTAGAATCGCGCGCGCGACGGCGTGAGTATGTGGTGGGGGTAGAGAAGTGGTGGGGACTCCCTAGGAGGGGAGGCCGAAGGAACCCGGCTTCAGGCTTCAGGTCGCAGTGGCGCTTCAGTTCACAGGCTGGTACCGTGGCGCGCGGTTGGCTGGCCTGCGTGCGGTGTGCGCGTCTTCTTGTCGAACGAAGGGAAGAGAGAGCCGGTTGAAATTTTCGATCGTTTAACGTGACAAAAGACGAGATAACGACAACGGTTTCTCGCGATTGGAATAATCGACTTCGGCGATTATTCTCCATTGAGTGATATTCTCGACTTTAATCCGACGTATCTCTTTCGTCGCGCGAGAGAAAACAAGCTAGTATTTTTCTTCTCGCGGCCAATCGATTATGACGAAATCTGTCGATTGCGATCAGTGTGAATAGTGCTACGTCTACTTTAACCGCGCAAATTGGAACGCAACTTTCAGAGTGTCGCGACGACGAACAGATTGAAGTGACGCGCGGATAAACAGATCGAGAGAGGCGCGAGTGGTTGTCTATCATCGACTCGTCGCAGAGAATTATCGGCTCGGGTTATAGAAGGGCGTAATCGAGGAGCTCGTAAAGTGAGTGAGTGACAGTGGCGGAAGTGTGTGATCGCCAGGACGACGGAGGATAGGAGGGAAGTTCTTAACGACGTGAGTGTATAGCGAGAGAGGATCATCGTTTCTCGAGGATCGAGACGACGCGTCGCGACGCTCGTCAAAAACGTAACGGACCCGGACACATCTCGCCGTCGTCTATACTTTTGAGTGGTGAGTTTTCTACAAGATTCGATGAATCTTATCTTATCGATAATCGACGAGCGAAACCTAAAGATACAGAATTCTAAGAAAAGCGTCTGAAAAGTGTACGCGAGATTAGATAACCTTTAGAACGTTTACAGCATTCTTTAGCTACAGTTAATAATTTTCTATTTTATATAAAGTTATATTTATATATTATAACACGTACTTGATAGAAAATTTCCAGATTTTCAACAATTATTGCGTTTCTACTTTACAAAAGTTTAGATTGACATGAAAAGTTTGACGAATTGATCGTAATTTCTTTTATGAAAAAGAATTGTTTACCATCGCGCGCTCTCTCTATCTCTCTCTCTCTCGCCTACAAAGATTGGTACGATTTTGGATTCGCCGACACAATAGGCAAACTTTCGTCTGACAAAAATTGTTAGAATTCTTTGACATATTTATCTCATTGTCAATCCACGAAGTTTTGTGAAACAAGTCACCGTTTTAACAGATGATACGTAGATTCTCAGATAAGACGCGACGACGAGAATTCGAGAAATCTATCGGTGTTATTTTACGGTATCTTGATATAAGAATATTTCAGGAGATAAATGATATACTTGCTTTTTGAGTGTTCCTGGATTTTTGATGACATGACACAGCGCTAAAAAATTTCCGCTTTGATAATGTCTTGCTTCTTTAGAATAAATAAAGCACGTTATTAAAAGAATGTAAAATTTTATGCGATAATATGCTTCCAATATGTATATAAAAGAATGCTTTATATATAGTAAACTTTAATATAATTATATAAAGATACATAGTATCGTTTTTTCTTTATTACTCTTTTAACTCGGTTTGTACGAAATGGAGTAAAGAATAATTTTTTCCACCGATATATATAATACAAGTTTTTGAAACGAAATATTCTATTCATAAAATTTGACTTTGTATTTGTTGATTGTGCTCACAATCGCGCGGTACCTTTTAGAAACATAATTCGAGTAATGTTTATATGTACATAGCTAGAATTCTGTTTACGAACGGTGACTGATAGCGAAACATTAAAACTTACTAAGAAAATGACGCAAGTCAAATCGTAAATCAATTGAATATCAGAATATCATGTATCTTCTTTGATGAAAACATGTGTGATTTCTGTTCTTCTTCAAAACCAACGCCAAATTTTTATTCGAAATCTTTTTTATTTTTTTATTGCAAATAAAAATTGTACGCAATCATATCGCGAGGAACGCAAACGTTAACAGTCCGCCGTCGCTCGGCGATTTGATAGCAAACGGTTAAAGTTTCTGATTTACCTGGCAAGCGAATAGTTGCCAGCATCGCGAGAGTCATTTCGCGAGTAATGCTTCACGGTAATATTCGCAGATCGATGTTTATGCCGTGGCGCCTGTCACGCGCAGTCTGTCGTTCCGAGCTTGCACAATACAGTGAAATGCGAAAGTGATCTCGCACGCGCGGCAAAAAAAAAAAACAAACAAACAAAATCGTACGATCGTAAAACACGGAGGCTCTCGATCATGCGAAATACACCGGCACGTATGTCAGTGCGCGTATATATTCGTAGATAAAATGGTAGAACCGACCTCGAATCCCATTTAAAGTTTGCGCTAAATCGCAGACATTTAGTGCCATGTGGCATATACTAGTGTCACACATACAAGCTGTCACTATCGCTATTTCTGTTTACGACAGGTTCTTCTGACGAATACAAAGTCGATTTCTCCATAACAATAATTTATTGCAATGCGTGTGTGTGTTTTTTGTAATTGCCGAGTTATTTAATATCTAGAATTTATTTTACTTAATTCAAGTTTAAACAGGGGACTCTAAATGAATGACAAAACTTGATTTTTTAATTAATTTTTTTGAAATTAAAATTGTAATTGTTCAATACAGTGATAATTTAGATACAGATTTAGAATCAGAGTTGTTTCGTGTACCTTAAATTTTTACATGCATGTGAAAAGCTTTCCAAACTTTCTTTTTTCCGCTTTAATGTCATAGTCAATGACATTGCGAGATCTTTTCGCCGATGAAACTGCGAATCTCGGTCAAAGGCGACGTCCCGACTCGATTCCCGCGAATTTTCAATGAATCGATAATGACCGGCCTAATTTCTACAGGCACGTCCGTAAGATTTTTACGCGAAAGTTTCTCCGAGTATAATGGCCGTCCAAGGCGGTGAATTTAAGAGCATTGTCGTGTCGTGCGGCCAAGTCGAAAATAAGAGAAATCCGAACGAAACTCTTTACGCCGTGCCCACCGCAGGGAATTTTTCTTCCTTTCTTAAAATCTTTTTGTTGTAGGTATCCGTAAATCTTAATTCATCCAAGTCAACGTTTTCCATTGTTTAAGATTTATAGGAAGTCATATATATCTATTCACATTTTTTTCTTACATAATTTTTACACTAATAAGTTATATTATTATCATAAATCAAGAAAAAAAATTATCAAATTGTTTGATCAATTTAATACATTTTCGATTAGTATGATATGTCAGTTTCAAAATACGATAGAGAGAATTTTACATACTCTATATTTTAATCTTCTAGCTTTCTAAAATCAAGTGTTTTGCGACTTTTTTAACGTCGTATAAATTTTGGTTTTCGGTAAGCTTTCCTTATATCTACCTGTAAAATTAGAAACATATGGTTGTATTCGAAACGGATAATCTCCCAGCAGAATGGTAAACATTCCTTGGAACAAGCATTAGGACATTGAGATTATCATGAGATTCTTGAAAGGGTTAAGCTGAATTCACGAGGCGTTTCCTAATCCGTAAACAAACTTGACAGTTCTTGACGAGGCTCCTTAAACTGTTGCGTGCCTTATAACGCTTTAATACGAGCTAACAACATCTCACGAGCGTAGGTTTTTAGTGGTTTGTAAATGCGATGGGTCTTTCTCTCTTTAAATACGGTTAAAAAATAAGAAGGTAGCGAGAGAATGACAAATTTGATAGAAGCTTACGATAAATCATTCATATATTTTGTAATCTTTGCGCCATATGATATAAAATAAAATAGATGAGAAATAAAATATTTCGATCACTGCAACGAAATATCATTTTCTGTTAAACGTATATGATGAGAAATTGGAATATAAAAAATGTATAATTAATCTTTGAATCCTTTATACCTACCATCTTTGTATTTTTCATTTTTAATATTTTTGACTACAAATTGTTCGAATAATCTTTCTTATAATTAGAATAAAAAGATTTAAAAAAAATTAATCCGAATAAACGTCGCTCAAAATTAATAATTTCTTAAATAGGATTCAGGAAAATAGTTAATTACTAATAATTAATATCCATTAAATCCATTGATACTTTGTGTTAAAGTTTCCCAATATTCTATTTCGCGTCTTAAAATTATTCTGCATATTATTCGCGTTTTATAATCTAATGAAAAGAAAATGATTATTAAGACGTTAATATAATACTCTTTCGATTAAATATGAGTTTTGAGTAGATATATATTAGTACATATAGTAGATATTTAACAATCAATTATTATCATAATCTTTGAGTTTTAGAAATCAATCTGTAAAAAAGATATCACAAAGCAATCGAATAATTCTTGCGTTGATTCTAAAAAAGAAAAAAAGAAAAGAGGAACCGATTCATCTGTTTGATATCGCGGTGATTCGCGGAAATGCTGCGCGTTCGCATTTCTAGGAATGCGAGCTCTCTTGGCAAAATGTGAGAAAGAAGATTGTCGTAGACGCGCGAGAGATAGTGCGACGGCCGTCGGGCGATGTATCACGCGACTGTCCTAGCGCCGCGAGGATCTTTACCGGCTATCTCCTTTAAGCTCGCTCCGCTCTCGTGAACGGTCCTACGCGACGCGGCGTTGAGGCCGTTTGCGTTTCCACGAACTTCCTGCTCGCTTTCTCCTCCGTCGCTCTCGCATGAAGATTATTCTCCCGTTCGCTTTAGCGTCCAGCCGTCGGGCGGAAAAAGCAATCTGTTAACGGATCTCGTCCTTTACTCCCGTACGACGAGAGAGTTTTTCAAATTCGTTTTCTATCTGAAGGATTAGTCAATCTTAATATCCGCGATACCGATCATTAATCTCCCTGTGAAATTCGTTACTGCTTTACTACTAGGGAAATTTTATACCGTGTATCGAAATTATCGTGGCTTAAATTGATATCGACATATCGGCATCTATTTTTATCGCGCACGGTAAATCGATATGATTCTTTTTACTATAGTTTCTTATAATATCTTTTAATATACCATATTTATTTTGATTATATTTATTATTATTATTAATATTAATATTTTTTTTCTAGAATATATAGATGATATATTATAATGTAAAAATTTTTTCTGTATGTTATATATACTTTTTATATCAAATAAAAAATAATACAATAAAAAATAATGTCTGGTTGTTGATATAATGCAACCGCATTAAATATTGATTATAATTTAAGCGCGATGCATTTTAAGCGATAAATAAGGCTATTATTTTATAAAATTCTAGTACATTACAGTCGATCGTGTATTTGACAATTTGCGAAGAACACGACGTTTCTAGTACGAAAATTTCTGAAGCATTTTATTCTGTTACGTGCGATAATAAAATAGCGTGGCATATTAAATTAGTCACGCAGGCTGTAGCGCGCAATTTGCATTGAAATTGTAAAGATATCGGCAAAGTAACGTGCGACGTTCAGTTTATACAAGAATACTAGTGCCTGGGGAAGCATTTGTATGTGCGTACAATATCTCGTTTAAAAAATAATATCTTATTCAAATAGTCATTGTACGATACAATTTCGAGATTGCTCGAATTTTTTACTGAAATTATGACATTAGATTGACATTTTTACTATTATATTTATTGTACGAAATATTTTATACAATATGTGTCAAGTTTCGATCGAGCTATAAATTATCAGGTTGAACTATAATGGAAAAACTTTTCAGAATGTTAAATATTTTCAAGTAATTAAGTCTAATCTACTAAAAAATTCTATAACCAT